TTTCATGGATTTGTGCCTTGTTTTGGTTTGACCGTGAAATTATCGTACTTTGTATACCAATGAACTTCCTGCTTACTTGACGGTCCCAGGATATATGAGCTTTCTTCCAGCCTATAACTACATCAAAAAAACATCGCTCATCAGAGACAGTCTGAGATTGGGCATAAGTAAAACATGTCCCAACCACCTCAACTGATGAACATTCACTACTTCATCAATCGATATGCTATTCTTACACAGTAGTGCCCATTTCGTAGGAAAGCATTGCTTATTCAGTGGTCCTAAGATATACGAGCAATGCTTTGGAGACACCGGTAGTCGAAAACTATTAACCTACGAATATCTTCTACTCTCACTGGCCATGTTTCACACCCAAATAAGAAGACAGAGAGAACTGCTGCGCAGTAGACTCATCCCTTAATTAGCAAACGAATATCCTGCCTACGCGATAAGTGACGCAAGTTGGCAAAAGCCAGTATAGCCTTTTTATATTCGTGTCAAGATTTTGTCACACAAACGGGCCACCTGCACTGATAAGACTCCTAATATAAGTGAAGAGGTCAACCCGTCCAACCACTTCACTCCCTATCACTAGTAGTATGGTGCGAGCTACTTATAAGTAGTATATGACGTGAGTGTCAACGTAATGTCTGGCAGAAGAAGATGGGGGAAGATCAAGAAAGGAAGAGTTAGAACACAATGGAATTTGTATGAAACGCATGAATAGTGACAATGGATTGATGTTTTGCAACAGGAACAGTCCAGTTCGATATGATGGACTGATATTTTGAAAATTAACGATTTACGATATGGTTTTCCAATTTTACTGAGTAACTCTGTAATTTTCGCTAAATACAATTCGGTTGCCCCACCTGTGTTCTCGTTCACTACAGTAGTAGAAACCCGAGGTTAGGGACCTTGGATAAAATGCTCTTAATCATTTGCGATGGCACAGATGCATCCATTCTTTGACTCCCTTAAAATAGTAATCTTCTGAGTTCCTTGGGAGCTTCACTTTTTAATTTCAAGTTTATTTCACTGGATTATAACATCTCAGTTCATAATCTTTCTGATTACCGCTAATACTTCTACCACTTGTACCACTATGGGATTTGAATTGACAATTCCATCTCTCTGTGTGATAATGCGGTATGGAAATTTGGACTGATGTACGTTTGTACGAAGTTCTACGTTGTAGTTGACTGACTGAGTGACCTATGGAAATTATAGTTTATAGAGTCATATTTAAGAAGCATCAAAATCAGACGCTAACATCAAAATGATATTGAACATTTATTTTTGTTAAACTATAAAAAACCTCAACTAAACACTCATTTATTTCGTTAAAAAAATTTTAAATATTAAACATTGAAAATTAATTTCGCAAATTTAAACAAGAATAAAATGTACTATCTGATACTAATAAATGAAACATTAAAATTAATCAGTAAAAAATATTAAAACTAATTACATATTTAATACAAATGTACTGTAATTTGATTAAGTACTCAATTAATTATGTAATAATTAGTAGTTATGTTAAGACATTCTTCGTCAGATATCTTAAAGAAATTATTTTGTAGGTCTAATTCTATTGGTCAATATTTAAGGTCGTCCTAAACTATCAAGTTCACATACTTTTAAATGTTTGATCCTATTGGTTAGTATTTACGGTCGACCTAACTGTATAAATATGCGTTTGTCTGTAAAGTTTTCTTCTTCTTCTTCTTCAGTACAAAACCTCATATTTTCTGGATGCTTGTAGAATACACTTTCTACGCCATATCAAGACTTCTTCATCTACTTAGTTGGGGCCTTGGGACGTTCGGATTAGAATAGCCTATCGTGTCAATGAATCATTTGTCTTCGTTCTCGTTTACCGACTAAGGTGAACTCGTAATAGTTTCGAGCATATCGAATTGATGAGCATAAGAATTTAACTAATTTTCTTAGAATTTTACAGGGATTTTTTCACTGACAAAAATTGCATTCCACGAATGAACAAGTTGTTTCAGAGTCACAATGAACATATTTTTTTGAAAAAAAAACGAGAAGAAATGTTGTCTATTCACAGCGTAGATGATTCGTTTTAATAGTCAAAATCACTAATAAATACTAAAGATTAAATGTTTAAAATAAACGATTAGTGATATATAATGAGCGAATCAAAAGTGACCAAACAAGAATGCCGAATGAACATCATTCATTTATCAAGAAATGGCTTCCTTTATTAAACAACGCAGAAGATAACTATACAAATCAATATCTTTTTTGAACTCATGAATCGATCAATTAGAAACCTGGAAGCATTGAAAGATAGCCGTTTCGTCCTCGTATGGTGCTCATCAACAGTAAGCATCCACGATTCCTGCCACTCGTTGGATTCAAACCCAGGACTTTCGGTCTTGCACATGAACGCCTAACTTCAGGACCAATAACCCGGTATCTAACAATGTTAGTGTCTAACTTAGATCAATCCACAATCTTACGCAACCTTACCAACTGTCTTCGGTGAGCACTGCTTCATGCCCGAACAGGGTTTAACTTAACGAGTTCTTACTAGAACTCGCAGAAGACTCCCTAAAGATACCGGCTCAGTGGTCCTGAAGTTAGGCTTTCGCGCACAAGACCGAAGGTCGTAGGTTCGAGTCCTGTGAGGAGCAGGAGTTGTGAATGTGCACTGCCAATGATGAGTCCCATACCAAGACGAAACGGGAGTCCAGTGCTTCCAAGTTTCTAATCGTGGTCTAAGAATTGATCGATTCATGATTACAAATAATATCCGCAACCCCTAAATGCAAACCAATATTTACGAATATTTTTAGGTAACTAAATACACTTCCTCTTCGATTCTTGCTTTCTCTTTCAAATAGTCAGTTTGGACGTTTAGCACATACTATATTCATACCTGTGACAATGTCCATCACATAACAGTTAGTGTTTGAATTCAGATTATAGTTTAAGATTATAATTTGCAATTAAAATCAAGAACGAAGTTACATCATCAAATACAATCTTAATTCGAAATTAACATTCTTTTGTCTATGAGAATATCCGAATTTTTCCTTGTACACACATCTGTCTTCATAGATAAGGAACTGTTAGACATGAACCACAATTCAGTTTTATGTCATTTTAAACAAGATTAATGATTGTATCGCCAATGGGTAAATCCTGTTTTGAGATTAATCAGTATAATCAACTGTATGAAGTAAAAAAAACTATTTTTTCTCTCTCTTACTCTCTTCTTCATGTTTTTAGTTGGTTGTTTCGTTGATCAGTTAAGAGACTTGATCAATAATTACAGACAACCCATTAAATGAAAGAATGATGATGAGAAAGTTCAATTTAGTCCTATCTATCATGCAACAACTCGATTAGTTTTAATAGGTTAAATGTCAGTGATCATAGTTCCATACTGGTTTGGGGATATAAAATGTAGACATTGGCCTATATACGCCAGATGAAATTCGTACAGCAAGATAAATCCAAGCGTTGTACATGTAGTGTGGTGGATACTACTCATAAACTGGCCTATAATTGGAGCATCACCTAGAAGCTATTAACGGTTAGTCATCTACAACGTAGAACTTCATACGTACGATCCGTCAGTACTTGACCTTCACGTAGTGGTAGGGATTGCTTATCGTGATTATCTAATTGAACTACACTGGTTGGAATATATGTTCCTTTAGATCCTACCATGCAAACCAAGACAACTGGAGAACGGTGAGACTAAAATCAGCAACTCAAGTTCTGATGGAGAAGTCCCACTGCTGAGTGTAGAGGGTTGTGAAAGCTGGAAAGTGTTTCCCTCAGACAACCAGCATCTGTAGCGATGCTGCCTTCTCAAAAGGAAGGAAGGGATTAGAAAAGATCGACTTTAAAAATGTTACACCTCACCTTACCTTACCTTACGGATTTCATTCTCTGAAGGTAAGGCTTTTTGAAGAGAGGAGCTAACAACGTCAACTTTCTATAAAAATCGTTTGCAATGGCGCAAATGTATCCATTCTTTGAGCTCTCACAAATCCTAGTCTTCTGGATTCGTCAGCACCTCTACCTTTGTCTTTCTAACCTTATTTCACTGATTTATAATTCTTGAATAATATCTTCAAACCCTAGTCTTCTTCATTACCATTAATACCTCTACTATCTTTATCACTATGGGATTTGATTTGACATTTGCGTCTCTGTGCTGATGTGGTATAGCGACATGAACTTATGTACGTACGTACGAAGTTCTACGTTGAAACTGACTGACTGACTATAAAAAGACCGTGTGCGATAGGCCTCAAGCAGTTGTCTCTCGGTCTCTGTGGTCATGCTTCCAGGTCTCAAAGACTAACACTAATCCAATTTCTTTTTCGGGTTCCTCAAGAAATACCCTTCCATGGTGTGGTTAGTCAGGAAGTAACATCCACCTTCATTTTCATAACAGTACACAAGACCAAATTAAAAGAGTCAGACGATCGAATCGCACAACGTGATCAGAGTATTTGGTAGACCAGAATATGAATGACAGAAGTCAATCAACAATCTGTTTGGATTGCAAATAGATTACCGAAGATTATGTACAGTGAGTGCTTGTCACTGTATGGAATAAAATATTGTCCATTGTTTACTCTACTGCTCCAATTCGTTTGTGAATCATGATGTATCCATCTAAATCAACATGATCTAAGTCTTTGTGTAGTGAATATCTAATCTAGTGGTAGGATAAACTCAGTCAACCATTTAGCCGGTTTGTGGTAACACTGAGGAAAAAAGTGGCTGAAAACTACTGTATACAAAACAATTTGAAAGAAATCACTTTCACATAATCTGAGCACATCTTCCTAGAAGTTGGAGTTACGAAGTCAGTCAGTCAGTCAGTCAGTAACGGTCAAACGGTCAAACAGCACACTTATTATACAAATCTCTACATTTCATAATAATAATAATGACAGAATGTACGTTAATAAAACACTAATTCTACTTCAAACAAGTAAATTTTTTACCTGAGCTGCATTCTCCAACAGGACATCAACGGCTTTACGTATTGCTGAAGCACCTGTCAAATTCTCTGTATCAATACTTCCTAAATAAATTGATGTGAATGCTGTGGAAAATGTAGAAAAAACAAAATGGAAGTGATAGAATTTTTAACTTGACATTTGTTTTTAATAAAAATGGATAATACTTCATTAATATTAAAAACTGTTTATAAATGTTTTCATTTTTTCAATGAAGAACAGCGAAACAGGTGGGTAGAGCAATTTAAGGAACTCTTGAATCGACCAGCCCCGACGAACGCACCCCAACATTGGAAAAGCACCAGAGCATACCGCAGTCAATGTTTGCCCACCGACAATTGAGGAGATCAGCAAGGCTATCACATAAATCAAGAGTGGCAAAGCAGCAGGACCAGACAACATTCTAGCTGAAGCACCGAAAGCAAACGTAACAGTAACTGTAAAGATACTCCGAATTCTCTTCAGCAAGATTTCGGATGAAAAACAAATACCGATAGACCGGAAAGAAGGACACCTCATTGAGATACTAAAGAAAGAAGATCTCAATAAGTGTAAAGTGTTTCACTCTTCCTGTTGTTAATGTGAAAGATTGTATTCTGATCAGTCAAATTTAGCGTACTTGAATCTTGAGCTAATTACATCCTTCATCCTACATCTAACGTCCCCAATACTATCATTACACGAACTCGGATATTTACACAACCTATTCAATGAAATCGATCGAATGTTGTGTTTACCCTAGAAATTAGCTATAATCAGAATGATAATGATGATTAGTAAAGGTGGATAGTGGGCTGTCAGTTGAATCGAGAACAATTATTTCATCCTAGTTGGGACTCATCAGTTAGATGTGCTTATGTCTCAGACATGATATCCATTCCAGGACTTGAACTCACTACCGTTCACTTCAAATGTTATCGAATTATCCATTCAGCTATGCAGCTCAGGAAGATTAATTCATCTGTATTGGTTGTTTGAATCTTTCTATAGTTGTCTGAAACCGCATCCAGGTTGAGTTCGCTCCTTGATATTTCGGTGACAAGAATGAATCCACTGCTAACTACTATCCTATTCTGCTACTACTAATCCATACCACTGAAACACGATATCGAGGCAATCAGCACACAGATATACTAAATGAGATTAACCAATGGCAGTTCAAACATAACCAAATCAAATTAAGTACACTGATGAATCAATTCACATACTTATCATGGAGAGAGAAATTTTTTTTGTATGATGAGAATCCTTTAATTTAAAAAGTACGGAACATGTTTGTTATGTTGATTAGAAAAACAAATGTTTTGTTTTTTTGCAAAAGAACACGTTTACATTTTAACATATATAATTAAATCTAAATGAAAATGTTTTAGAGATAGTGGAGAAATGTTTTAGAATTGTCGAATATAGTATTGATATACACAGTTTTCTTCAATACTAGTGAATTGGGAATTTTCAAAGGGAAATATCAGTTGAATTGACGAATCGTGAGAATTTGGTTCCATGATGTCTGATGGATACATTAAAGAAAACTAAATTTCAATGGATCTCTTTGGCTCAATTCAATTTGTCACGCCACATCAGCGCAGAGAGATCCATTGTTAGCGTAAATCCCATGGCAGAAAAAGGTAGTACTAGTGTAGTGAAGGAGAACACAGGTGGGGCAACCGGACTGTATTTAACGAGAATTACAGAGTTACTCAGTAAAATTGGAAAACCATATCATAAATCGTTAATTTGCAAAATATCAGTCCATCATATCGAACTGGACTGTTCCTGTTGCAAAACATTAATCCATTGTCACTATTCATGCGTTTCATACAAATTCTAACTCTTCCTTTCTTGATCTTCCCCCATCTTCTGCTGCCAGACATTACGTCGACACTCACGTCATATACTACTTATAAGTAGCTCGCACCACACTAGTAGTAGTATTAATGCTCTGAAGTCAGACACAGAGATGACTATTTAAAGATGGCGAATCGGTTGGTAAAGCTAAAGATCCCTAGGAGATGTGATACATATCTTTAGATATTTTCAACCTCAAAGTGTAACGCTAGTGGGAGTCTAGACAGGTTATAAAGAAAAACTGGGCGAGGGCTAAACTAAGCTACAGAATCAGTGCATGAAGATATCGGCTAATCAACTGAACCGAATAGCTAGATGTAGATAACCTGGTTGAAATCATCATGATAACTGAAATCAGTTTGTTCGGGACGTTGGTTAAACATGTCGACAGTTTTTGAAGAAATACAAATGAATGATCTTTGCATAAACAGAGAAATGTAGACGTCAGAGATTTATAACCCAATGGTGTCTGTGATATGAATTTTATTTCTGACATTATTGTACTTCTGCTTATTGCCCTGTATGTAGATAGAAAGACTTGGAATCCATGTCGGTGCTAACTGTTAATCTCAATCGATTTGAGCTAAACAACTCACCAATTTAAAATTCATTGATACTTAAATTGGTTATGATTACTGTTGGTTTCACTTAATCATCGTCAAGTAGCACTATTTTGCCCTTAAAGATAACTGACACTTTCATTGACTTATTTTTGAGTATGGGTTTGTAAAGACTGTTGTCAACCTGGTATTTTGGAGATTTAGCTGTCCTGTGTGCGGAACAATGGGCTTCAACTGCTCGCAAGTCCCATACAAAGATTAAACAGCCATCGAATGCTTCCAGGTTTTCAGAGATGTTCTAACTCTAATCAGTTTGTGATTTGAATGTGATCAGATTATCAACCGATCAATGTTAGACCACCATTATAGAACTGGAAGCACTGAAAGACGGTCGTTTCGTTCTGGTATGTGATTCACCAGTGGCAGTGCGCATCTACGACTCCTTCCACTCATAGGGTTATAACCCAGGACCTTCGATCTGTTGCACGAAGCCTAAGGATTGGACCACTGGACCGGCATGCTGCGGTGTTAATGTCTAACTCTGATAAGTCTAGCAATTTTGAGGAACCTGATCCATTTATCTGCGGTAGCTACTGTCTACACACCAGACAGGGTTGAACTCCACTGGTTACGTATTCTCACAAAAACTCCGAGAATTTCTTCACGAAGCTGGTCACTAGTGAGCATATCGTGGTGGTCTAACGATGATTGATTGATGATTTCAATGTGAGAAAACACGGCTCTCTATAACTGTAATTGAAGAAATGATCAGATTGTGTTTGTGTCCCTGCTACTACTCGATAGGTGTGTATTTATTGCTCTCGTTGATAAGCCCTGAAATATACCTCAGAAAAGGTATACACAGGCCTAGAAATGCCAAGAAATGTTTAATCTAGTCAGCATTCGATCGCAGAAACATTTGGGAAATGCAGAATCACATGCCATGATTCCGATTGGATATCCGGTCATGCCCCTATCACATATTCAATATTGTTCCCAAACCTTCCAGAGGCCCAAGCTCATGAGTAACCCTACAAAATAACCCTATTGCATTTTAGAAAAAACTAGCCTTAGAATAAGTAAAGCATTCTTCTCATATTTCATGCCTTTTCGCTTGTGTTCAAGTTGTAGCGAAAATTATGAGTGCATTGATCAGAGCACAGCTGAGTTTCTATGTGTCACGGTATGAAAGAAATTGTTTTCTCTTCCATTCAAAGTTCAAACTGAGAATCTGAAAACCAGCTAAGAATTCGTTGTCAACTATTTGAGCAGTAGACTTATCATAAATACAAAATAATAAGACAATTTATCTGCTAAAGAAATCATATTTATCTTTCCTTTTGAAATACAAACGCATGTTGAGTTTACATGAAACAACTAGATTAATTTTTTCTCTTCATATTGTAAACAATTATTTTAAAAAAAATCTCAGTTATTGTCAGAGCAACAGATGGCTAAGATGTTTTTTCCTCAAATAATTCATGTAAGTAGGAAATACATTTTTTTTGAAAAAAAACACGATTATGTAAACACACAAATGGTCGGTTTATCAGTATGCACATAACATTACTGCTACCGATGTAACTAACTTCATTCTGATTAAGTTATTTAATTTTTTTACACTTAAGAGATCCTCAATCGATCGATCATTATTAGACCATCATTAGAAACCTGGAAGCACTGGACGGTGGTTTCGTCCAGGTCTGGGGCTCACCAGTGACACTAAGCATCCACGACTCCTGCCACTCACAGGATCCGAACTCAGGAACTTCGGTTTTGTGCGCGAATGCCTAACCTCTGGACTACTGGGCCAGCATCCGACGGTGTCAATCTTTAACTTTGATTTATCTAGGGACTTCACCCATTTGTCTTTAGTAGTTACTGCCTACACACGACAGGATTGAACCACACTGGTCACGTCTTCTCACTGGAACTCCGAGAGTTTTTTACACGTTTGAAATCATCAATCAATCATTGTTAGAGCAACATTAGAAACCTAGAAGCACTGAAAAGCCGTTTCGTCCTGGTCTGGGACTCATCAGGTTTCTAATGATGGTCTAGCAATGATAGATTGGTGATTTCAAATGTGTAAAAACACTAATCTCCATAACTCTAATTGAAAATATCGTAAAATGTGCTCACTAGTGACTAGCTTCTTGAGGAAATTCTCCGAATTCTATTGTAAAGTCATAACCAGTAGAGTTCAACCCTGTTAGGTGTAGATAGTAACTACCGAGCACAATGAGTGAGGTTGAGCAAAATCCCTAGATCGATCAGAGTTCGACATTAACACCTTGGATGATGGCCCAATGGTGCAGAGGTAAGGTGTTAGTGCGTATGACTGAAAGTCGAAGGTTTCAATCCTGCAAGGTGCAGGAGTTATGGATGCGTACTCCTGATGAGTTCCGTACCAGGATTAAACGGCCGTCTCTCAGTGCTTACAGGTTTATAATGGTGCTCTAACAATGATTGATTGATGGTTTCAAATGTGTCACAAACACTAATCACCATAATAACTCTAATCGAAAAATGTTTTTTTATAGTACGAAATAGACATAAATATAAAATATAGAACGATAATAATTTTTAAATTGTAATTCATCAATAGACTTACTTCTTCCTGAATCCGGTGGACCTAACGGTCCTAGTTCACCTTCATACACAGCTGGAGGAGAACGATTATTCGATTTCGACTTGGAACTACTGTATGGTGCAAGATAACCATCTTGTCTAATTGCATGATGTTGAGTCGACTGTGAAGGAGGCATGCCTGACTGTTGATGGTGTTGTTGTTGTTGTATTGGATTATAGGTGGACTCCATTTCATACGATCCCATCATATCTGAAGGTAACGGTTCTGCTGGATGTCGCAATGGAGCACCTTGAGATCTGTCCATTTTATGAAAATCATGTGGACTTTCACGGCCTTTAATAATACAACAAGATTATTTATCAGATATGAATTGACATAAATCAACAGAGAATATTTTCAAACAAATTTCATCATGAATTACAATTAAATAAATTCACCTTCAATGGGCAAGAGTAATTTTACACTGGTTTTCAGGAGAACCAAGGAGACTGTCCACGTGTTAACACTAAAAGGTGAACAGTTCAGCTGGATCCTGTAGTGCAACCAACACATAGGTACCTGGTCGACACCATTCACATCGTTTATATAGACCAATACATATGTTGTGATTATTTCCAATCCATGATCACGTGAGTCAATCAATACGCACAGTATGAACAGGCCAATTTGACCCGTCTCGCTAACATGTCTGTCACAAACTCGTTATAATTAGCAATGGTGATATGCATTACAAAGTCGCAACGACGAATGGCCCTTGGGAACAAAAAATCGGTCATCCTTCAAACTGGATTCGTCAAAGTAATGCCAAACCATCCACAATGTTCGCAACGAGCAAATTTCGTTTGATTCTATTATAGACAGCGATGAAATATAGAATGAATATTCTCTTGTATCCTGATGCACTCACCATCTAGATATACCCTCATTTCATTGAAACACTAGAATTCAACAAATCTCAATCCGTTTTTTTTTCTAAATTTTCGATTTCTTCATCATCTAAGGTGGAGGATTGGATTACGCGAAAATAAATACAATGTTACTCATCACTGAGTATGCAACAGAGATAATAAAAGATGAAAAACAATAGCTCAAGAGTTGAATTTTGTATTTTTACATGGAATGTTACAGATATTTGACTAATGAGAACAATGTGAAAAGAACTACTGTATTGCTACATGTAGAAAGTATTAGTGGAATGCTAGCTCATATAACATCAAATATGTAAAGATTTTTTGCGAAAAACCTACGTAGATTATGTACTGCGCAGTAGTTCGCTCCGTTTTACTTTATGGCTGTGAAACATGGCCAGTGAGAGTAGAAGATATTCGTCGGTTATTGGTTTTCAATCATAGGTGTCTTCGAAACATTGCTCGTTTATCCTGGGACACCCAAGTCAGCAACGCTGTTATTAGGAATCGGGTGATAGGTAAGAATGGCAGATCAATAGATGAAGTAATGAAACTTCATCAGTTGAGGTGGTTGGGACATGTGCTGCGTATGCCTAACCACCGACTGCCTCGACGAGCAGTGTTTTGTAGTGTAGGAATAGGTTGGAAGAAAGTTAGGGGCGGCCAAACCAAAACATGGCAGAAATCTATGAAATCATTGACGAGTGGACTGAGCCATGACGGTAATTGTCGACTACCTGGTTGGGGTTCGCGAGATGATAATAATCGATGGTTAGATACCCTGAATGACATGGCTCAAAATCGTTCACAATGGCGCCGGTGCATTCATTCTTTGTGTTCTCTCAAATCCTAATCTTCTGGATTCTTCAACAACTCTAGTTTTTACTTTCTAAACTTTTCTCATCAAATCATACTTCTTGAATAATATCTTGTAATCCTAACCTCTCCGATTACTCCTAATTCCCTTACTACCTCTTCTACTATTGGATTTGAATTGACAATTATATCTCCGTGCTGATGTGTATGGCAACATGAACTGATGTACTTACGTACGAAGTTCTACGTTGCATCTGACTGACTGACTACGTAGATTATGCGTTAATGTCAAGATTTACAATGTGAATAAAACTGGAAGCTGTGACCAGTGTGGAGTTCAACCCTATCGCAAGTGTCAATCAGTGACCACCGAAGACAATGGGCGAGCTTGCGTAATACCATAGATTGACTTAAGTTAGACATCAGCATCGTTGGATTCAGGCTCAGTGGTGTTAAAGTTAACTGTTAGCGTTCGAGACCGACAGTTTTGGGTTCGATTCCCTCGTTCGGTGGTCGTGGATGCGCACTGCCACTGATGAATCCCATTATAGAACGAAATTGCCATCTAAAAATGATCGATTCTCATGATTTCAATGTAGATTCTAATAACCTTTTCATTGATTATTACAATCCAACCAATTGACATGATCAGTACAAATTATCGACCAAAAAAAAAAACTCCAAGGACAGGGTAGGGTCAGGGTAAACAATGTCTACTTTTCAAAAATTGAAAAATTATTACCTGTATGATAAGCTCCAGGTTGTGTAGAATATTTCGGTACCATTGTCGCCGGTGATAATCGATCCGGATGGGAATTTCTTGTTGTTAATACAATCAATGAAGGAAGACTATTGATTGGTGTGGAGGATTTAAATGGTAATCTCAATGGGCAAGGTAATGCTAACGGTTGTATTGTATGCTCATATAATAAACTCACTAAATTAGTAAATATTGGTTCATTGGATGAACCACGTAATCGTACCGGTTCATGAATTACACTTAAAGCAGTGGAATCCATTGGTATATTCGATGGAGGTAATAGTGTACCGCTTACACCGACGGTATGATATAAAGGTGTTGTTGTTGATGATTGTAAGCCTTCAATTAAGTAATGTCGTACGGAGTCAGATTCTTCACCTGTACAACATGGGAAAAGTAAAATGATGTAGCGCAGAAAAGACATCTGAACAAATTGTATAAAACACAACAGCATTTGTGATAGGTAACTAGGGAGAGTCGAAACCCTAGGAGTTCCTATCTCTCTGTGCAAGTGTTCAAGCATTTAAACAAGTGATACACTGTTCAGTGGTTTAAATGTTCTTACTTAATTACTTACGCCTGTTACCCCCCTTTACAGTTCTATACAATTGCTATTGATTCTTTTCATGTCTGTCTCCGACTCTCTACGTGATGTATTCAATAGCCTTTCTCTTTTCCTTAGGCCCTGAAGATTACACGTGAGGGCATGTCTTGTGACGCAGCTGATGGCTTTTCTCAATGCGTATTCTATCCACCTCCAGAGAGTCTTGTTAATTTTGTCCTCTGCTAAAATCCGGTTTGTTCTTTTATACAGTAGGTTGTTACTGATGTTGTCTGACCAACGAATCCAAATTATTTTGGCGTAGACAACTATTAATGAACACTTGTATCTTATGGATGATGACTTTCATGGTTCTTTAAGTTTCCGCTCCATACAGTAGAACTGTCTTGATGTTCGTTTTGAAAATTCTGACTTCGGTGTTGGTTGTTAGTTGTTTTCAGTTGCAGATATTTTTCAATTGTATGAATACTGCCCTTACTTTGCCAATCCACGCCTTCACATCTACAAGAGATCCACCTTGCTCATCAATTTGGTTGCCTAGATATGATTTGCATGTTCAGTTTTAATGATTTCGCAGTATTGCACAAAAATGGTTTGATAGAATTGATGAGCAGTTGTTTCACACTACACATTGATCGAAACTTCTAACTAAAAGTTTCAGGAATACTTTTCAAAAATGAATCAATAGTGAACATATTATTATAACTAAGTATTTTTTTATAAATCCGCCTGGAGCTCTTCTACGTTTACTACCGGTCCCAAGACTGGATAAAGAAGGAGGGTTGGGCACGCGGTTAGCGATGACCCGATCCGGTAGAAACGTAACTCGAGGCCGATGCTCTATTAGGGATGTTGTTTCCCTTAACAGAATCTACTATACTATTATTTCACTCTAATACGAGACGTCGTAATAATTTACACCTACTATCTCATTCATTTAAACA